AGATGATGAAAGGAAGTAGAACAGGTGTGACCGGAGCATAGATGACGGAGCGGAAGTAACGTAAGTAACCGGTAATGCAAAGATAACGTTGAATTCTGCGAATGCCCGTTAACTAAGCCTTCTTAAATCTGTTGAGTTCTCAAAGAATACCCAGAAGTAAGGATTTAAGAGTTAGTTTAAAAACCAAAGCTCTAAGTAGTTTATTAATCAAATCAAAAGTTGTGTTCTAAACAAAAGAAGAGAAGCTTATATATAGGCTCCATCGTGAGACCTATATTCCTAAACATAAAAGGCATGAGATAAATATGCCAAAACCAACTAACAAAAGGATAATTAAGAAAAGGAAAACATGAAGTAAATCCTAACAGATATTGGAAGTAGACGCTACATCAGGTCCCCCCCCCTACGGAAGATTCGTCCACGAATCCGGACAATGTAGCATCATCGGGCTCGTACTTGAACAAATGTTTGACGTTGAAGACATCGGCAGTATGAACATGCGGTGGTAAAGCCAGACGGTAAGCATTGGCGTTTAACTTTTCAATAACCTCCACTGGCCCTATCTTGCGCGGCTTCAACTTGTTGTACCGACCAGCAGCAAAACGTTCTTTTATTAAGACTGCCCAGACATAATCTCCCACCTCAAAATGAACTTCACGCCGATGCTTATCAGCGTTAGCTTTATATTTCCCTGCGGATACAACCAGGTTATCACGTGCCTGAGTGTGAATTTGTGAAAGTTCGGACACCAATTCCACTGCACGACCATGAAACTCGGTTGGTTGAGGAAGCGTTGTCAACGCAATTGGACTGCGCGGAGTATAACCATAGACAACCTTGAAGGGACTAAAGCCCAAACTGCGATTATAAGCATGGTTGTGGGCAAACTCAGCCTGACACAAACATGAATCCCAAGAACGAATGTTATCACCCACTAGACTGCGCAACATATTCCCCAACGACCTGTTAACCACCTCGGTTTGACCGTCCGATTGCGGATGATATGCTGAACTCATGTTTAAGCTAGTCTTCAGAAGTTTCCATAGAGAGCGCCAGAAGTGGCTGATGAATCGCGAATCACGGTCTGAAACAATTGACATGGGAAGGCCGTGAAGACGATACACCTCGCGAAAGAACAGAAGAGCCACTTGAACGGCGTCGGTTGTTTTCTTACACGGAATGAAATGCACCATCTTGGAGAAACGATCCACAACGACGAAAATAGAATCATTCCCTCTTTGAGTACGAGGAAGACCAAGAACAAAATCCATGCTCAAATCACTCCAAGGTTGAGTGGGTATCGGTAAAGGTAAATAGAGACCTGCATTAGATGCTTGACCCTTTGCCTTTTGACAACTCGTACAACGAGCCACAAACCGTTCCACGTCACGACGTAAAGTTGGCCAAAAATAAGATTCGGAAACCAGCTTCAGGGTTCTGTCACGACCAATGTGACCTTCGGAGTGTAATTCCTTGATAATTTGCAACCGAAAACTACTCTCTGGCACACACAGGCGATTGTCACGAAAGATGAATTGATCGATCAAGGAGTACTCTGTATTGACGCCGTTAGACAAGTCCCACCATATCGGAGCGAAGAAGGGATCGGAAGGGTAAAGTTCCGACAGACATTCAAAGCCCGGAACCGAGACCTGCAACGTTGTAACGAGAGCGTGTCGCCGACTCAAAGCATCTGCGACTTTATTCAATTTGCCCGATTGATGTTTAATAACAAATGTAAACTGCTGCAAATAGGCTGTCCAGGAAGCATGTCGAGCAGAGATCTTATCTTGTGTCCCTAAATATTTTAAGGCGACGTGATCTGTAAACAACACGAACTCCTTGTGTGCCAAATAATGACGCCAGTGTTTGATAGCTTGAACTATTGCATAGAACTCGACATCGTATGTACTATACCGAGCTCGTGCGCCGGCCATCTTTTCACTGTAATAGGCAATAGGGCGGCCTTGCTGGCTTAAAACCGCACCAATCCCCAACTTACTTGCATCACAATGGAGCTCAAAAGGTAACTCAAAATCTGGTAAAACCAGAATTGGAGCCGTAGTGAGCTTCTGTTTAATGATCTCGAACGCATGAGATGCCTCCGGTGTCCATTCAAATGTCGTCTTCTTCATACAATCAGTAATTGGAGACATGATTGCACTAAAGTTGTGGACGAACCGTCGGTAGAACGATGCCAAGCCATGAAAACTTCGGATTTCTGTAAGAGTTGTAGGCGTGGGCCAGGAGGAAACCGCAGCTACTTTGTTAGGGTCAACGTGAAGACCGGCGGCAGATACGACATACCCAAGGAACAAAACCTCCGGCACACCAAACTCACACTTGTGTAATGCGATGAATAGTTTCTCTCGTCGCAAAACGGTTAGAACGTCACGAAGATGGCGCAAGTGATCCTCCAATGTGCTACTGAAGACGAGGATGTCATCGAAGTAGACGACCACAAACTTGCCAATGAATGGCCTCAGAGCTTGATTCATTACACGCATAAAGGTACTCGGGGCGTTTGATAACCCAAAAGGCATTACCAACCATTCGAATAATCCTTCCCGTGTTTTAAAAGCTGTCTTCCATTCATCGCCTGGGCGAATCCGAATCTGATGATATCCACTTTTTAAATCTAATTTAGTGAACACAGCAGCCTTGCCGATCTGATCAAGAAGGTCATCAAGGCGAGGGATAGGAAATCTGTAGCGAGTCGTGATTTTATTTATTGCACGACTATCAACACACATTCGCCAAGTTTTATCCTTCTTGGGAATGAGTAGAGCCGGGACTGCACATGGACTCAAACTTTCTCGGATGTATCCTTTGCTGAGTAGTTCTTCAACCTGTCGACGTAATTCTTCGTGTTCTTCGGGACTCATGCGGTAATGTGCACGGTTGGGTAGAACTGCGTTGGGAACAAGATCAATATGGTGTTGAATATCCCTCAGCGGTGGAAGTCCATTGGGCAATTCTTCGGGAAAGAGATCGGTGAATTCCTGCAGGAGCGATGTAAAAGCTGGTGGTGGAGCTTCTTGTCGAGTTGTGACTGGGTTGGTGGCTACGAGGGCGTAAAGAGGGCATGAACCACGAAGCTCGTCCTCAAACTGTGCTTTAGAGACAATTAATAAGCCTTGTTTAGAGAGAGAGTGATCGTTGGAGGTGGCCATGTCGGTTTCTTTTGAGGGAAGTAAGGTGATGCGACGACCTTCGAACAAGAAAGAGTAGGTGTTTAACTTCCCATGATGAGTGACATCTCTATCGTACTGCCATGGTCGACCAAGGATAATATGAGCGACGTCCATGGGAGCAACGTCACAATAGAGTGTATCTTTATAGGTAGAACCGATGGAGAGGGATAATAATGCTCGACGTGAGACGTGGACTTCAGCACCGGTTTGCATCCAGAGGAGGCGATAGGGATGCGGATGTGCTTCTGTAGTGATGGAGAGCTTGCGCACGGCTTCTTCTGAAACCACATTAGCTGAGCACCCTGAGTCCACCACAAAACGACAGACCTTGCCCTTGACAGTGCAAGTAGAGCTGAACAAAGAAGTCCGTTGCCATGCGTCACTTGTTTTGGGAGCAAAACAATTACGGCGTAGCATGAGTAACGTCCCGGTGTCACCAGCAACTTGCTCTTCGTCAACGTCGTCAAATATCCCATCTTCCGTATCATATATGGGATCTCCTGTAATTTCTCTATCATTAGCGAGTAATCCCCGTCGTCCCTGAGGACATGCTGTTTGAATATGACCTCGTTCACCGCAGGTAAAACATCGCAGAGCGTTGGGGCGAGACGGGCGTGCGTCCGTGACTGGTGCAACAGGATCGGTCGAGCGGTTAGCTGTGCGAGTACCCGTTGTTGTGTCTGTCGTAGTGCTGTCGTCGCCAGTAGTTGCAGAACTGCGTTGTCGATTGGTGCCATTCCACTGGTTAGCCGTAGAACGAGATTGTTGTTCTACCAATAAAGCTCGTTGTCGTGCTTCGGAAATCGAGCAAGGGTCAAACTGATGTAACATGGTTTGAATTTGAGGGCGAAGACCTGCGATAAATCGTGCCACCAATTGATCTTCTGAATCATGGATGTCCACTCGTGTCAACATCTGAAAAAATTCATTCGAATAGTCGTCTACCGAACGTGTGCCTTGACGAATGTTGTGAAAACGTTGAAACAACAAACGTTCAAAGTTATACGGAATGAATGCTTTTCTCATATGTTTCTTGAGTTTATCCCATGACGTAATTTTTTCTTTTCCTCGGCGAGTACGAGAAAGCTTAAGTTGATTCCACCAAGAGGCGGCATGACCGCGGAATCGAGTACTCACAAGGGAAACTTGTTTAGTAGCTGGGACGTCTTTGAAATCTAAGATTTCATCGACAGTAACGAGCCAATCAAGAAGTTCTTCTGGTTTGGAGCCACCGTGATACTCAGGAATCTCCATCTTGATCCCTGATGTCCAACGTGTGTCGTTGTCTTGTCGTGGTTGTCTATCGCGACCCACTCCGCGTTGCGGAATGTTCACGTTGTCTCCGAATGGATTATCCCCATCGGAATCATCATCAAGTTCTTCAAAAACAGGATTATTGTGGCGGTGTCGGCGTGGAGGAGGAGCGGCGTTGACCTGTGCTGCAGTAGCTTGAGCGTTGGCTGCAAAAGCGGCTTGTACTCCAGCTTGGACTCCGGCCTGAATTGCTTCAGCCATCGTTCGTCGCATATTGTCTTGAAAATTTTCCTGAAAGTCTTCGAGGAACTGTTGCATCTGTGTCCATTCGTTTGGACGAGGAGCCATCGAAACCAAGATCGATAAATCACGAATGAACCGTAATTAAAAGTCTCTGATACCAACTGACGGAGCGGAAGTAACGTAAGTAACCGGTAATGCAAAGATAACGTTGAATTCTGCGAATGCCCGTTAACTAAGCCTTCTTAAATCTGTTGAGTTCTCAAAGAATACCCAGAAGTAAGGATTTAAGAGTTAGTTTAAAAACCAAAGCTCTAAGTAGTTTATTAATCAAATCAAAAGTTGTGTTCTAAACAAAAGAAGAGAAGCTTATATATAGGCTCCATCGTGAGACCTATATTCCTAAACATAAAAGGCATGAGATAAATATGCCAAAACCAACTAACAAAAGGATAATTAAGAAAAGGAAAACATGAAGTAAATCCTAACAGATATTGGAAGTAGACGCTACATCAATAGACAAGACCAAGGAGGAAATAGAGTTGAATCCGAGGCTCCGTTGCATAGAAATCAATCTGTCCCGGATCCATTGCTTCTTCTCTATCCTTTTCAGTTTTCACCAAGAAAAAGTTCTTCAAATGAAAAACGACAAATGGTTTCAACCTAAGAATCTCTCCTGCCACACCCGCCCAACCATCAACCATTATATATGTTATAAAGAATGTTGCCTTTATCGGAATGGCCACTCCAACCGTCCGTGGAATCCTAATAACACAAGAAGGTAAAGAACGTTGAGAAACAAAATTTTTCCAAGGGTAATATAAAGTGGTGGAGCTTACTGGTCCGCGGATTGTTTAAGGAAAGAATCTAGCTGTTCAAATGCTGATCCGGTGATTATGCTACCGAGGAAAACATTCACAAGGTTGAATAGATAATATCTAAAAGCGGCTCTTCTCTCTAACGATGATATCGACACAAACCCTTCGAATTTCGACATGATCATCAAGATCGTTGGAAGAAATACCAAAAAGAGCTTCAAGACAATACCGGGAAGAAACCCTTGGATCACCGATTTAATAAACTTCCTGCACACGCAACATTGATCAAAACAATATTCTCAATCGAAACCCTAAGCAAGAAAGAATAGGAAATGTAGACGTACCTTTCGATGATGGTATTGAGGAACGGAGCGGTTTTTTGGATACCTTCGATACTCGCAAGGGATTGCACAAATGCAATTGGGATGATGAAGAAGAAAGTAAGGAAGAAGAAGGCAACGTGCATTACAAGTCTTCTTACCGTGAGAGACACGTAAGGCATGGCTAGGTTTGGCCAATACACTTCTCTTGCCTCCGGAGCCCAATCCGTTAACCACTCTGTTGGATTCTTTGTCTGTTGTGTCTGTGCGCAAACTGCAGCGCCCCAGCGAGTTTTAAAAGAGACAAAAGCTGCTGGCATTACACCGTTTTCGTCTTTCTTTACTCTCTTCCTTTCTGCCATAATCTGTGGAAATTCAAATTAGCCCTAGAAAGCAAATGAATATACATTTAGAGGGAACAATACTTTACTTGCTCGCTTAGCTTCTCGAGCTCAGCTGTGTAATGATCCATTGCATCTACTTTCTTTCCCCATAGCCCGAGAAATCCCAACTGCAAGATGAGACAAAATAAGATAAATCTTCTCTCTAAGTATGTGTGTCAAAAAAAAAAAAAAAAGTGTGTCAAGGTTTCTACAAGTATATACCTTTGCCCTTGGCCTTTGTTCCTTGTTTCTTGTATATTTCAAATGGTAGTAATCAAACCAGTTCTGCATTTTCTTCTTCTCTGCTACTAAGTCAGCTAATTCATTTGCATTGTAAACCACCTACAGACATAATCAATTAGCCTTAACCAAGAAATACCGATAAACAGAATCAAGATTACTTCCTTTAGAACTCTACTTAACTAAGAAAACATTCATAAACATAATTCAAGATTAGTTCGTTTAGGACGCTGTACTAACCTGATTGGTAAGATAATGATCTGGGTGGTTAACCATAAAGAAATGCTCCACGTTTTCGCTAATTGACTCGTGTGACTCTGGTGGTACGTTCCTAACCAAGACCTGCCAAAGGTGAAAACATTAGAAGCTATTCCAGAGATAGTGTTAGACTAAAATAGCAGATTAAATAATAAACAAAATGAAGTATCATTACGGTGAACTGATCAGCACGTCGTTTTTCGGATTGGAGAAATGCTAACCGCATTGAAGCTATTTTCTCATATTCCTTCATTAGAACATAGCAAGTCCAGATTGTGAAAGCGTATTCCATCACGAGATGCGCCCAAAAGCTTTACAAAAAATTAACAGATTCTAAAATCATTGGAGTTGAAAATAAAAATAAATTGCAAATTGAATCTGTAACGAACCTGTCTGATCCATATTCCACATTTGATATGGAAAGCTTATCAATATCACTGGATGTTACATTACGTAGTTTTGCTACCTGCAGTCCATCACTGGTCCAATTGACAGGTACCAGAATAGACCATGCAAGCAATGCGATTGGAACAAAGATCTTAAGTCTGTGAAATTGTTAAAACAACAACATTAGAAACAAAGATATTGTCTAATTTATTTTATTTTAAAATTATTTGAAAATACCATAAATGAAACAATACTATAAATGTTATTTTAAATTTAGTAAAATACTGTATATCTAATATTTATTAACTTAATATTAGTAAACTAATTTTCTGGATTCGCGCCTGCTCTTCTACTATCTCAAGATCAATGATCAAACAACCATCTAGCTCTTAAGATAGCATTGTATGCAATAATAAAGAGGGATTGAAACATTGTGATTACCCAATTAAGTAAATCCTCAAGTAGACAGCAGAATCCAAACCAGCATGATTAATAAGTTCAGATTCTGGCATCTTTAGCGCAGCAGGGATCCAGTTCAGGAACCGTATGTAAGAACGAAAATCAAAATTCACAATTTTCTTCACGAAAGCACCCGAAGTAACCGGGGTGCTTCTAAGACCTTTCAAGTACCATTTAGGGAAATAAACCCTATCATTGAATGGTTGGATCCTCAAGATTGCAAATAGCAAAAGGAATATCAAAGCACTTAGAATGTTTATTGTAGCCGCTACACCAATATCTGATAGTGTCGCCATCTTATATAAAACCCTTTAAATTTCTTTCACCTGCAACCATTTTAGAACCCTAAATTTGTTTATTTTCAAAATTTGGATATGAATCAATAGTAGCATGACATATGATATCAAAAAAGTTGGCGGCACTTTACAGAACCGATTGAATCAAAAACTGTATCATTAGAAACTTGTAGCTCTCGTGACCAAAAATAAAGTCAACCCTAATTCAAGAAGCAGTATTGCGATCAGATTAAAGAATGATGAGAAATAAAGACACGAACCGGGAATGTAACCTGGGGATTTTCATGAAGGAAAACTATTCCTCAAAGTTTTATCCAAGGAAAAGCATTGCGCAAATCCAAACAAGTCTTTAGCTGTCTCTGACACAAAGCTAAAGATGAAACATAAACAGAAACACAGAAGAATAAAAGCAGAAATAGAGATATAGAAAGAGAAGAAGAAAAACAGAGTATAGAAACAGAGATATCGGTTATGTTTAACAGCACACGAATTTGGAAGAGAGAAAAAGATTCTATTCATCAAATAGAAAAATATTGAAGAATGTCTCGCTCGGGTTATGCTAAAGTTGGTCGGCATCTATTCGTATGTCTTGAAAGTTGAAAAATGAACCTCCTCTAAGATTTTTTATTACACAATTTTTTTTTTTTTAAGAATTTTTTAACCTGGTTTGCCTTCTTGTTTCTACAATATAATGAAGTTAGGAATGGGAATGTGTCAGCTGTCTATAATTTTGAGGGTTTTCTAATTCAAAAAATACTAATCAACTAAAAATATATTCATATATAGCTATTTCTCTATATATATATACATATCTAATATTTTGAACTGGATTCAGTCACTTGTGATATATTTATCTATTACTGAATGGTTCTATATCTATATTTATGCTTATGCTATAGATAAAGTCAGATCAAATAGATAAAACAATAACTCAGTTACCTAAATAAGATAATGACTTAATATATAGTTGACTAATAAATTGCCATGAACTTATTTTAAATCAAAATGCTAATAGTAGTATGATGTGCTTAATTGATGGATCTAGATGCAAGTCTTGTGCAGAGTTAATTTTTTGAAAACATGAAAGTTTGAATCTTTCAAAAACAACTGGGTATATCCTGGTAAAAAAGAAAAGTATAGTAACCATATAAAAAAAGAAAAGAAAAGTATAGTAACCATATAAAATATATAATATTTTCAACAATTTGATCCCCTCCGTAGACTAGTCGGCAACCTCGCGGCATAAGCTAGCCACCTGATAATTAACGGTCTTTCCAGCTTACGTCATGAATATACGCGCTTATATGGGAGCATGACTAGTAGTCTTCTAGTACGATCCAACGAAATTCTTTTTTTTTGGGACAGCAAACGGCTCCAATGAAATTCATACTAGCAATTAAACGTGATATCATGATTTTGACGTGTCGTTTAGTAAAACGTCGGTCTCATTCGCGTTTTTTGCGAAACAGCGTGCCATCACGTTGAATCATATTCTGCGCCCCTGCGGTATGAATTATTTTATTTTTCTCACAATATAATGAATAACGTTTCCTTGCGTCCAAATCATTATTTTTTGTGACCACTTTGTTAATGTAAGATAAATGAACTACATAAACTAGAACACACAATAATCTATGGATAAGTAATCTCTAAAAAAATCGATTAGATTGATCCTTTTAAAAATACATACAAGATTTTTTTAAAAGCAATCTTTCAACAAGTTCAAGACAAACTTTGAATTATTGATTAGCCTACACGTTCACAGATCCATGACAGTCTCTGAACCAAGCTCCTAACCTCTAAATGCTTTGCTTCTCTTTCTCTGGACGTACAAAACCTCTATTGCTAAAATCTCTCTTTGTGTGTTAACCGGCAACATAATACCAAAAACCTCTTTTATAATCGCAGAGGAAACCCTAGACCTAGAGCTCTACCTAATGGAAACTTTCCATTTCTTTTATTTCAACGAATAAGCCAATCTTTCTTTTTTGAATCGATTGCTTCTTCTCTAAGTTTTTCCTTTTATCTAGGCCTGTTCAATTTGGTGTTCGGTCCGGTTTCAGTTCGTTTTTTTCGGTTTTCGGTTATTCGGTTTATAAAAATTAGCTACCATATTAGAACCATATTTAATTTGGTTTGGTTTGGTATTTATACTACCGGTTTTTGGTTTATTCGGTTTTATACCAAATAACATTATTATTTGATTTGGTTTCATATTATATGAATTAAAAAAAAACATATTGTCAAAACTATCATTTATTAAAATAATCCTAGGTGTTCATAAATATAAAAATGTGAAATTAACAACAAACAAAACGACCAACAATTCAGTTCTGTACAACTTTTTTTATTTTCTCTTTGTTCTTCCAAATAAATTACAGTACAATCTAATTTCACAATTTCTTACAACATGCAAAATCAAATCAAATTTAGATAATAGTTGAAGAAAATAAAAAAAAGTATTAAGATATATCTTCACAAGGAATAAAAAAGTAAAAAAAAAAGACTATTCCAAGAAAATAAATGGTTATATAATGTATATATTTATATATTTTTTCTTTGATCAGTTTTGTTCGGTTTAATTGGTTATAAACCTAACCATATCCAAATCCTACGGTTTTTATAAAATCATATCCATTCGGTTTATATGGTATATACCAAATCCAAACCATATTGTCTATTTTGGTTCGGTATTACCATATTGAACAGCCTTATTTTTATCAGACTCTTCATTATCTTCCTTTTAATGACTTCGTCTTGCTAAGTGCTTCTCACGATTTTATCGACCCATGTCGTAGTTCATATCGCACTTCATGAACTACTTCTGATCTGCTACATCATCGTCTTGACCATACATCTTCACACCTTTCAGTGTATTTATCATAGAACAATACATGCGTGCATTTAATTAGAAAATATGAACTTTGGAATATGTCAAACTATAGATATTATTTCAAAAACTTTTGTTTGTAAAGGTAAAATATATCAACCATTTTATCAAATCAGAAAATCGTATGAATGTATTTAAAAGTTCTATTCTATTATCAAATAGATCCCAGATCTGTAAGATCTCTCTAAGTAGCTGTTTTTGAGACAAATTAGAAGACTCTATGCTCAATAATGTGCTGCTAAAATCAAGTTCTCTTTGTGAAGGATACTTTGAGAGACGATTTTTATTTTGGTTTAAGTAATCTCTACTCATCGGGCCCAAAGGTAGTTGCATCAAGAATATCCATTGAACCCTGAATCCTATGCTGCTGAGAGTTGACACAATAAGTTGTGATTCAAATCTGCAAGGAATGCAACAATTTGCTTCCACTAAGACATACAATTTGGCTCAGGTGCGTCATCAACAACTCCTAGATCATTTAACCAGCAAGCTCGTCATGGAGAACCAAAGATAAGATATTCAAAGGCAGCTCAACTCTAAACAAGTCAACTGAAAACCATACAACATCAGGTAAATAGTCTAAGGACATTGTCGTCGCCCAACTTATAAAGACGTTGCAGAGCAAGTATTTCTTTGCTAGCAAAAAGAAAAAAGCCAATCAAAGATTCAAGTGTATACAATGTTGCACGTTCCCTCAGTGCTCACATTGAAAATGTGGCAAAATTTGGAATCCATTTTCCATTACAAGCAGTATAAAAACAAAAATGGTCAGATTCAATACAATAAGAGACATAACTGGCTGCTAACCCCGATAAACACCGCGCACGGTCACCAGGACTTTCACCTTCTCTCTTGGGAGAAAAGGGTCACCCACTACTTAAAAAAAAAAGATATGACTGTTACAACATAATGAAGTTAGAAGATCTTAGAATTATCCATTGATTCAACAATCTCTAACAGAAGAATATCATCAACTTCTTCAGCATATCCTTCTTTCTAGTGATGTCAACAAAAAAATCCATCTTTCTAGCAAGGCAAGCAAGGATGAAGTAGTTTTCATTACGGATCGAAGAGGACAATATACAGTTCGGTCAGGATATAAGTTTGCGCTTTCTTTAACCACCATATGTCATCACAAACCTACATTTGTGTTGGCGTTATTCATCATCAACAACATCTCATTTTTTTTTATTAGCCAATGTTAATGAAAAAATGTATTTCGAGGTTTAACCTGAAAATAATAACCAATTAAAAAATACTATATAAAAGAGAATAACAGATGAAATATCTTAAAGTCTTTAAAACTTTTCTCCTCCAATCAAATAATTTGAAAATAAATTTGTTCCAGTTGTATTAAAAGTATTTCAAATCTTGTCTTTATGATATTAATATATCTGAAGAAAGGAAAAGAAAAAAAACAGTAAAGACCTACACTGTAAACACAATCTTGAATCAATATAAAGACCCAACGATCCACAATCTTGATTCAAGACTGAGATGTTGGGCATAGCAATAGAGATCATTCAAATGCAAGTTCATAAAAGATTTAACTAATCCTTGACACCGGAGAAAAAAATCCATGAACATTGAAGTTTTATCACCAATAGTCCAAAGACTCATCCAAAGAAGCACAACTGCAAGAAACCATCAAACCATAACAGTTCGACAAAGGGGAAGGTGAATTTTGGATTGAAACAACAACCACGACTAATTCAACCTTCCCCCAAATTTCACCTCCTCGTCTTTCCAACGCGATCTCAATGCAGAAAATCTCAGTTTTCCCGTCATAAATGTACCATCCCGGCTCACATAAGGACCCAAAATCACCAACTTCCCACAAAATTTACCATGTTAGACTCATATTGAGACGAATTTTAACCAGAAAGTTTTAAACCCAGCAAGTGTCTCCGACCCGTGACCTTTGGATCATACTTGTATATTATAGACTGTTGATCAGGCCCAAGAGAGAACAACATACCATCTACCACACAATATGACTCTTCCCACAGCCTATCCAATGTGCTTCTCACACACAAATCACCATGTTTGGGTCCGAAAACATAATGACTAAAACCATCTGACATATAAATCTCCTCATTCATCACCAAATACGACGCAAACTCTCCAGTCACATCAGGTAAGTCCAAATTATTCTCTTCGGGTTATGGTATCCATATCTATTCCTTTGGATTAAACACTTCCACCCAGTCTGAAGGTTTCATCTCGCAACCTCCGATTAAGTATATATTTCCGTCCATTACTCACGCGGCTGCGCGGGAGCGAGCAACCTTCATGCTCGGGAGCGAGCGCTACATGTTAAATCTACAATGAATGAGAGATAAATAAAATGTGTGTTCAAAACCGACGCATCCACCTATTACACACACATCTCCTAACTGATAGTGACGAATGCAGATCCCCAAGGCATGGGAGGAAGCAAATCGATTTTACCAAACCGCATTAAAACTGTGTGTTCGGTAAGGTATACGATGGAGAACGTACCTGCTAGGGCTTTTTAAAGCTCCCACCAAGGCATAGAGAACATGTTTTGTCAAGTTGAGGCGCGAACGCGTGTGGTAGAATTTGGGTGAAGCAATGAGGCTATGGAGGATAGTGGAGACAAGGGATAGCTTCGGGTAATTAATGACATATCCTGACACATGTGAGGCATGTTTCAGCGACTTCATCTGGTATTGGTAGATACGACTTCACGGTCAGTTGTTTAAGGTTTTGGTTCACGTTAGGTTTTCTGTTTTAATTGTTGCCACTAGAGCTGGAGGAAGTTCCGGGCATAGCCGCGGTGCTAAGTTGGCAGCGAACTAACGAGAAGCAATAAAAAGAAGAATGATCAAAATTAACACTTTCCGAAAACACTGAGATTTGGATACAAATAATATATTTGACTTTGACTAAAAAGGATAACATATCTAGGAAGTTTAGATATTAGTGAAAATTTTGATTTTTTCTATTAAAATTGGTTCACTTATTTTGAATGCTTTCACTAAAGGAAAAATTGATCTTATGACAACAAAATATAATTTAACAAATGTACATAATAACTTAGGGTTTAGGATACACATAACACATTAATTGCCAATTGATATGTATAATTAGGGATGTCAAAATGGGATAAAGCTAATGGATTTATCCAAACAAAACCAATCCACATATCTTAATGAGTTAAATTTCGATGGTAATAAGTTAATAGTTTTGGTGGATTAGTGGATTTAATGAGTTGAGTTAAAATGGTTTGGATTTCGAGGAGTTAGATAGACTCTGCTTTTGTACCTAGACGATGCATTTGATGCTAATTTCTAGAGGTTGTATTCAGATACAAAACACGAACATGGTCTGGGTGGATTATTCAAACCAACCTAATTTTATTTTTTCACATAATATATTTACTCGTCGATTACTCATTCTAACCACATTGTTATCTTTTTTTATTCTTCAATATCTTTTATTTCGTTCATCGGCACCATCATTTCTGAGAGACATAATCTGAGGTAGATGTTTGCTCTATACTTTTTGATTTAGAATTTTTGATTCACGAGTTTGTGGAATACTTCACTATCTCATCTCCATCAGAGTTGGAGCGTTAGAGATTTCTGAGTTAGTTGTTTTGTATTCAGAGATCTCCGCTCCAAAACAAATTTACATGTTTAGTTAAAAAAAAATTTATATCTCCAGTTTGGTTATCCTAGTTGGTAGATACATCTAATTAATTGTAGTTATCGTTGTAAAAAAAATTGTTTATGTCGATTTCTTATTAAAAATGTGAATATAAATTTACATGTTTTTCTTTTTGACCAAAAAAAAAATTACATGTTTTCCATATAAATCACATAGAGTCGTTAGCAGTGCATCCTCTTGAAATTGTACTATTTAGAATATAGATCAAGATAACCAGAATGAAATTATTATTGTATTCTTAGCTGGTTCAACTGATCTTTCAACAAATTGTATAGTAATACTAAAAACTTATTATATACTCCCTCCGTTCCTAAAATATGTATATTATATAAAAAAAATTTGTTTCAAAAAGATAGTTTTTTTACCTTTTCAATGAATGATTTAATGAAAAATTGTAAGTCTCAAAAAAATTAATGGTGTTTATTGAGTTTCTATTGGTTAAAAATTATGGAAAATTGTTATTCACAAAAAACAATGTATTTACAATCAAAATTAAATGAGTTTTCTTAATATTTATGAAAAGTCTAGAACATGAATTATTTAGGAACACATGGAGTACATATCTAGTGGCAGGAGTTAATCAGACTTTACATTTCACGCAACATATTTTTTTGATAATTAATAAGCAAGATAAATTGCTCTCCAATAATTGTTTTAAAAATGAAAAATAACGGTCAATTTTTTAACAAAATTAGAAACACAAAGGACATAACTCATAAGGTTGTTGTTGGATCAAAAATAAAATAAAGGTGAAAAGATAAAAGTAATTTAAAAGGACAGGGACCTTAAATTAAAATAATACCATCGTCAATCTCAAGGATTATAAACATTATTACAATATTACGTTCGGACAAAAGCCAATAACGATCCTCACTGAAACTCAAACCAACACTCTCTCTCTCTTTCTTCACTTAAGCTCCGTTAGATTCAACTAGATCTTTTTCTCTTTCGTTAGATAGTAAGAGTGAGCTCTGTGTTCTTTCACTATGTCTCAAGAGAGACCAGACGAAGAAAAACCAGAGACTTGCGATGTTCGTGTCCAAGATCGGATCCAAGGAGTTGCTTCTCCGGTTCAATCACCGAACCGACTCGGCCCAACGCGGTTCTCTGAAGTAGCTCGGGATACCGGGTCAGATTTTATTGGATCGATTTTGTCTTGGATCAACGGTGACCCGAACCGGAATGTGAAAAATCCGGTTAAGAGAGGGAAGAGGAAGAGAATCAGAACGGCGAAAACCGCCGTGGGAGTGATCGCGCTTGTTGGTTTCTTCATTTTTGTTAATTGGTTTATGCTTTCTCAGCTCCATGAAGGTCGAGCGTGGCTTCGAAGAGGATTCTCTAAGAACCGGAATCCAAAACCGAATCCGAAACCAAACCCGGATCTCAGTCCGAGTACCAAACGGGTATCCGTTAAAGTGTCGGCGGCGTCGGTACAGGTAAATTAGTTAAATTGTAAATTTGGTTAGTAATTGTGATTATCTCATTTAACTGTCGGTACAGGTAAATTAGTTAAATTGTAAATTTGGTTAGTAATTGTGATTTTCTAATTTAGCTGTCGGTACAGGTAAATTAGTTAAATTGTAAATTTGGTTAGTAATTGTGATTATCTAATTTAGCTGTCAAGATACCGACAGTTGAATTTAACTACCTTCGGTTCTTGGATTCGGTCGTTTCGGGTTTTGGATATTTTGAATGCATATATATATGAACCGTTCCTATATTTATAAAATTTAGTCTGATTGCAATTCAATTTGGTTCCAGTCTAGCTCTGTGGGATAATTTAAAAAATATCTGATAATTTAGATAAATATTGTATATACTTTAAAAAGTATTAAAGTAATTTTGGATAATTTGGTTATCAGTGTACTTCGGGTTTTAAAATAATTTGAGATATTTTCTGATATAATTTTTTATTTATAAATTGTGTTTCTAGATATTTAGTTATCAAATGGCAATGATAATGTAATACTTATGTTATATGATCTTTGTTTTTGGATTGATGTTTATGTAAGTTTCAGTTAATTTAAGCTTGTTCCGTGTTGATGTGAATGTGGTTTGATAGCATGTAGAAAAGAAAAAGATGGGAAAACCAAAGAAGAAATACAACGGAACATATGGTAGATTGTTGGCTTATGCGGCTCATGCATTGGCTGAGGTATTTTTATTTATTAGTATGGTTCATTCTGATTTTATGCATCACATTTTTACATTTTTAAAAAACATTTATGTTTTTGTTAGGGACAAAACAAAATTGAGCCAAAAGAGTTGTGGCGAGAACCAAAAGACCAAGCTTTGGCTTGGAAGCCTTGCGCTGATCAACGTTCTTGGAAGCCCAACGGTCTCTCTCACTCTTTCTCCCTATTCTTTGCTTCTTCTGCTAAATTGGTTTCCTTAGAAAAATTTTCTTGATTTTTGTTTCTTTTAAAGATTTTCTTAATTCTTGTTTATAGATTGTGTTTTTTTTTTAAATATTTCCTTTGACTTTGGTTTCTTGTGGCTGTTGGTTTTAGATGGGAAGAATGGATATATAATGGTAACTGCAAATGGCGGGATCAATCAACAGAGAGTTGCTGTAAGTTGTTGTGATTGCGTTACACATTCCGTATGAAAATAATTAATACTGACTAACCTTTGAATTTATAAACAGGTTTGTAACATTGTAGTTATTGCTCGGTTACTCAACGCCACACTCGTTGTTCCCAAGTTTATGTTCAGCGATGTCTGGACAGATTCAAGGTAACTATTGTAAGCTCCCTCTCTTCTCTTTCTATCCATCTTTCTTTTGACATTCTTGATTGGTGCATATTCTGTTATAGTCAGTTTGAAGATATCTACCAGGTGGAACATTTTATAAAATATCTCTCTCCCGATATTCGGATAGTAAAGAACCTACCAAAGGAGCTTCAGTCACTAGACCTTGAGGCCATTGGCAGTCTCGTGAGTTCCTTATTCCGATTTATATTGACAAAAAGAAGATTTTATCTTAGTTTTTTCTTTATATACTTCCTTTTGTCACCTTTAAGGTTACGGATATAGATGTTATGAAAGAAGCCAAGCCTGGATTCTACATGAAGCACATTCTCCCTCTTCTTCTCAAGAACAGAGTCGTCCACTTCTTTGGATTCGGGAACCGTTTGGCCTTTGACCCTATACCATTTGAGTTACAGGTAGGTAACAAGACTTTCTTTGATCCTCATCGATCTTTGATTCATTAAGACCTTCTCCAGTCCCTCATTTTGAGAGAACATATTCACAAACTCATTTTAGTGTAAAGTTTTTATTTATTTATAATTAGTCCTTAAATTTTTTATAATTTTGTTTTATATAAAAAAAGATTCAATATTTATGTTTTATACTTAAAGATATTTATTAATACTTCAGTGATGCAATTTTAAGTTTATATTAATTATTATATCTTTTTTAGAAACTAAATTTATATGCATATAATGAAGATTTAGCTCCAATAAAATTTTATGTAAGTAAAGTTTGCAAGTTTTATAAAATAATAAGCATTTTGAAATTAATTATAAGTAGTAATAATATGTATAAGAAATTTTAAATTTTTTTTTTGAGAGGGAAAATGAGGGAATCTATTGAAGAAAAATACAAACTCATTTTGAATTTATTTTATTTTTTGAGGGTAAAAATAAGGTAAACCATTGGAGATGCCTTAATGATATCCATTTTTTGTTTGTAGAGGTTGCGGTGTAGATGTAACTTTCATGCGCTAAACTACGTTCCAAAGATACAAGAAACCGGCGCGATTCTCGTAAGGAGATTACGTGACAGCGGATCACACCTAGCACCGGTTGACCCGTATCTGGTCGGTCCAAAGTTTGCATCCTTTATACTGGACAAAAAGGCTGGTCCTCTCCATAAGGCTTCTAAGTATCTAGCACTCCATCTCCGGTTCGAAATCGATATGGTGGCTCATTCTCTTTGTTACTTCGGTGGAGGCGATGCCGAAAAGACAGAGCTATCAGCTTACCGAGAAAAGCATTTCCCTACGCTCGCAAATCTAACAAAGACCAAAAAGTATGTCTCTCTCTCTTTCCTCTTTACTTCTTGCCTTAACCATACCAAGTTTGGTTTCTTATTACGCTATGTTCTTTTGTAGAATGCCGTCTCCTGAAGATTTGAGGACGGAAGGGCTTTGTCCATTATCACCTGAAGAAGCTGTGCTTATGCTTGCTGGTCTCGGTTTCAGCCGCAAGACTCGTGTCTTCGTGGCTGGTGCGAATATATACGGTGGGACGAAACGTTTAGCAGCTTTAACGAGTCTCTACCCAAATCTTGTCACCAAAGAGAATGTGCTCTCGGAAACAGAGCTAGAGCCTTTCAAGAACCACTCTTCTCAGGTGAAAAACAAACAGAGTAAACTACTTTCCGGTTTATCGGTTAACTTTCCGGTTATTGATTTTTTTATTTTGGTTATTTCCGGTTATGTAGTTAGCGGTTCTTGATTTCATTGCTTGCGCTGCATCAGACGCCTTTGCAATGACGGATTCAGGGAGCCAGTTGTCGTCTCTGGTGTCGGGTTACAGGATTTATTACGGAGCAGGGAAGATGCCGACGATCAGACCGAACAAAAGGAGATTCTCGGACATATTGTTGAAGAACAATACGATAGAATGGAAAGTGTTTGAGCAGAGAGTGAGAAAGAACGTTAGGCAAACGAAACATGTTTTGGTTAGACCAACGGGACGCAGCGTTTACCGTTATCCAAGGTGTAAAGAATGTATGTGTTATGAAGATTGATTCTTTGTTCTTACATTATGGTTCGGTTTCTTAAAATGGTTGAACCAATTATTTACATGACATCAGGAATGATTCGTTAGCTCCAAGTGTAGTTGTTTTAGTGGTTTAAACAAATACTATTGCACAACAAAAATAGACAACTATGATTAGGGTTGGGTTGTAGGTTAAGCCTGACCCGCCTTCCTGCGAGTTTTAAATTTTTTTTTTATTAAAAATTTCTACCCGCACAACCCGTAAATGTATAAATTTATATCCGCACCCGATCAGCTTAATTTTGTGGATAATCGATGGGACCCCCGACTTATATCTTTTTTTTAAAAAATTATTTAATATAATTTTTTATTAAAAATAATAAAATAATATTTTATAATAAATAATTATATATTTAAAAAAAGTTTAGTTCTTATTTTTTTTTTAAATTACCGTATCTTTATAAATATTTATTTATTTTTACAAAAAAACACTTTTTCTAACAAAAAACACAATTTAAAAAAAAAATAAAAAATAAAAAATCTACGAGTTGGCGGGTACCCGCGATTCAAAATCTACCTATCCGCACCCGCCCTGCATAAAATACTCATAATCTGCATCGGCACCCACCAATCAATTTTTTCAAATTGTTCGACTAGCACCCGCCTTGCAACAGGTCAAATAGGGCGGGACTCGCGGGTGATGACTCAAATTCCCAGCCTTATGATACTATCTAAGCATAGCTAAGCAATTTTTCTACAATACAGTTGGCTCAGGCTCATTCAAGTAAATACATGCATTAATAATTCTTTTACAAATCTCTATCTATCTCTAAACATGCATAAGTATGCAATCTCTCTCTCTATAAAATAACTACCATTCCATTCAACTAACCAATTTACTAATGAGATTCCTTTACACTACAAAGACTAGTAGGTAACAACGATTTTTGGTCTTGATGGTTTCTTTCTTTTGGATCAAATCTTGATGGTATATAAACTAAGTACACAACAAATATTTTTTCAAACTAAGGTCAATTATAATGAGAGGTATTTTGGTGTAATACCCTCCCCAATAAAATATCAAAAATAATATCATCTCATCAAATTTCTTGTTTTGTGAATAGTAGTATTTTGCGTGTTTCCCATTCAAAAATGTGTTTTATTCTTCTGTAAGTGATTACTGGAAAGAAATATTTTGTGATAGGCAAACTAACATGTCTATCTAGCAACTAGCAATTGAAAAACATTTTTATCATCCATGCAAATTGGACACGATAATCTCATGCCGGAAAATCATTTAGTGCACAGAAGAGCCGTTTTAAAATTAAAATTTGATGTAATTTAATTTCAAAAAAAAAAAGTTTAATGTAGTAACACATCATATGCTTCAACTATATATCACCATACTCAATTAACTCATCAATCAAGAGTTGGATAGAAACATTAAGACTAGTTTGTGGATGATTTGGCACTGAATTCAAAATTGTTAGAAATATATACTCTTTATTCATATAGATATCTAGAGATAAGTTGTATAGAGTCATGATTACATGCCATGATAAATAATATTTGGCATGCCAAATAGATTATAACCATCTGTACATAGATAGATGTTTTATGTTTCTTGTGCAAATGAAGGATGCAATTATTAAAATTTCGTCTACTCTGCTGCAGCAAATGAATGACATATATATTACTCCGTTTCCAAAATCATGCTTAACATGCCATTTTATCGACGATGCAGTTTTCTTTAACTAATATACATTATCTGCAATCAATCAGTAATAGGTAAATACTACATACAATTAAATTGTATTCTAGTTTTTCCTTCACTTGTCTTATATCTTGATTTCCCATAGAACTTACAGTTCTCTCAATTTTTATTTTTCCAGAAAATTATACAATTATATATACATACATTAAATGTATAGTACACAATCCTATCTTCCTCATCATAGTTTATGTTTTGTAGTACCCTCTGATAAATACTTTGAAAACACTTATGCTATGCAGCTTTCAGAGAGATTATGGCATACTTTAATATTTATACATCAGGAAGCCAACGACAACCGTAAATTTCTTCATGACAACTGTTATAAAGTGGAGTATTTGCAGCATCTAACATGTTGTAAAATTGTTTTGCCGTATGGATAAGTTCTTTCATAAACATGATGACCATTTTTATGTCCGTGTGATAATCATTAAATGTCGTGAAACCATAAAATGCATCATTCACCATCTCCCTATATATATCTCCTCCACTAATTTCCTTCACTTATTTATTTTCTGTTTTGTTACTTCAAAAACTCATCTTTAGCATAAGATTAGTATGAAACTTGTATTTTTTCGTCTTAGACACCTATAATTGGATTGACATCTTAATTACTACAACCGACACTTGTTAAACTGAACTATGACTACTTAATAAACTTTTTACACATCAACAATGCCAAAAAAAATTTCTCAAAAGTCATAATTTTACCGAACTTGAAGTGATCTGAAAACAAAATCGAAATTTAAGAAAAATGATAAAAACAACTTTAGATTCGAAAATCTAGCACCCTTAACTAACAAATCTGCTAATGTGTTTTCTGCAAAGAATATTTGAAAAGCAGAAAGCGTGGAAACAATTCTCTCAAATTCCTGTAACTTCATTGAAAACTATGCCACACTCTTGGTTTAAGCGGCCATTGTTGAGATCACAACAATACAAAAGGTCACACAACACAACCCATATATAATTAGGGGAAACATCAAAAGCTTGTTCATCGTTCGAAACGTGTACCGTTCCTAAGTTTTCCACGAAACCATAGATTACACATATTATAAAGCTTTTTAACGATTATAAATATGATGAGAATAAAGTTTTTTCAAAGGATCGATCAAAGCATTGTTGAGGAGATATGATCAATGGGGAAAGGATTGCCCATGACATTGTCCATGAAGTAATGGTGAGGATGTGTTGCGTCCATTACTACAAACTGCATATCCTCCGATGGCTTCCAATGCCTTTTCCTCTGGTTTATGAACCAATTGTTTATCTGTTTCTGGTCCAGCCCGGTTGATTCTGCTAGTGCTAGCTTTTGCTGCTCCTGCCATTTCATATCCAAATATTGGTGTTAATCATTAATTTTTCTAATCAACATTCTCAATGCTGTAGATATTCTTATGCTCCATCATTGATTATAATCGGTCCAAACCATAGTAATGATGCTACTTATATTCGGATTTTGAAATTAGATCATTCGAGTGTATACCAAACGAGGATCATCATATATATGTATTGACACATAAGCCAGTATTCCATTGGGGCCAATGGGGAATTTCATTTTATGCGCACTACACTACTATGTATGTGCAAATACGTTCATGCTAACATGAGCTAATTATGCAAATGCAATTTATGCAATGGAAATATGAGCCAATAGACCAAAACCAACATAAACTGACCCAAATATTTCAATTATTCATTGTTGATTATGCTTTGCAGTTTATGCAATGCATATAAAGACATAAAGCCAGTATGTTTACTAGCGAGGCTATGAGAAAAGAGTTTACCGAAGGGTAAGGCCATTTGTAGTGTCGGCTCCACCAGTCAAGCAGTTGTTGGCGAGCTTCTTTAGGAAGCTTTCCTTTCTTCCTCTTCTTCATGAACTCTTGCTTGAGGCTGCCTAAGTAACCACTGTACTTGCGCAAGAGCTGTCCTTTCAGCTCCCTATCCTCGGCCTGCGGATCTACAAATTCATTATTCATATCCACTTCTTCCTCAGATGACACATTATTGTTTCTCTCAATAGCTGCCTCTCCATAACCTACTTTGATATATCATGCCAAAACACAAGCAAGACAAAGTTAGCACTAAAAACGGCTAAATGGGATCCACTATACTGAGCTAGTGATCCAAACAATTCAAAGAAATAAGTTGAGCAAGTAGGTGTGAGTGAGTGAGTGTGTGTGTCTATACAAGCTTAACTACTCTCGTGAAGAGAAGAGACAAGTGATATGACATTGCGCAGATCGATGTATATACGTACAACAAAACATGTGTATGTCTATATTGAGCAATAGATCTATGGATGAACATACACTAGATCCAGATATTCTTTTTGATGCAATAAATTTAGTAGATCCAACGGAGACGAAAGAGACAAGAACAGTGAATGTTGTTGTACCAAGAAAAATAAATTTCACTTCAGCAAAAAGAAACTTCAAATATTGTTTTAAACCTTTTCATTGAATAAAACGTCGATATACACATGTACAGAACGATAATACACGTAAACCTAGTAAGCTACTTATAACAATCTGACACAGTGACACTAACCCTAGCAACAAGCATCAAAGGGCACTAACCCAAGAAAAAGGAAAATCTTTCTTAAAAGCCCACAAAGGAAAAAAAGCACACTTTTCTCATCTTACGTTTATTATGACGCCATTATAAGAATAAATTAATATCTTATAGAAAATACATAGATTTAGAGAGAGAGAGAGAGTAACCGGGGAATGAGGAAGGCGAGGAGAGAGAGAGGGATTTGAATTGACACTCGACGTGTTGAAGGAAGATCATAGCTTCTTTAAAAGGTTTAGAGAGCTCTTGCTCGTACTTAACGAGCATCTCACAGTAAGCTTCCATGAACTGATCAAGCCCTGGATCTTCACCTAAAGACCCTGTGGGTCCCATCGACGCTGCAGCTGCCGCCGCAGACGAGCATGTTTCTTCCAACCTTGCCTGTACTTCCGGTGGAGCTCCCACCTTAATGATTTTGTGATTAAATAATTCACATAAAAAGCTTTAGTTAAAATGAAAAGACAATAATCATCAAGTTGTGGTTATGAAAAATATGAGCAGAGGATCAAGTAACGAAAATATATGTACCAAATCTTCTATCCAACAATAATATTTTGGATCATTTCTTGAAAATTGGGTTTCTGAAATTTAACGGGTTTTTTTTTTTTGTTTATTCCAGGCTTCTTGAAACTTTCTCAAATAAGTAAAACTTAGTTCTTTTGTTGTTTAGGTATTTTGTTGGATTAAGTAGGCAATAAACAAAAGGGGACATCAAAATCAAACTAAGCCATCAAAGTAATGAAAGGGTTATGTAAAAAAGTTAAGAAAGGGTAAAGTT